TTTTTCATTGAGGGAGGCAGGATGGTTTTGTATTTGTCTCCAGTGTGCTACAGAGACTGAAGCAGAGCAGGAATATGCCTCAGCCAAGCAGTGTGCAGATCTGGCCTTGATTTTGGGGCTGCATTGCTTTAAGGCATGTGGTTCTGTATCTTTTTGATTGCAGGAAGATGTTTTTTAAAGCCTTTGGCTTTGGAACCACAGAGATGTGAAAGCATCCACCCGCACACCCATGCTGGCTCCAAGATGAACTGGGCCCAACCCAAAGGGAGCAGGCACATCTGCGTGCACAAGATGCTGTTCTGAAGAGGGTTGTGATGTCACCTCCTAAACCTGGAAAGAACAGTAGTTAGGAGAGCACTGTCATTTTTGGAATGTCACTTGGTATCATGCTTGCCTGGCATTTGGGCTGTACTGTGTCTGACATCATGCAAACTCTCAAGCTTTTCCCATGACAAGAGCATTGCCTGGCTCCTCTCTAATGTATATTGTTTAATCTTTCAGTTTAGCCCATGCTGAAGCCTTTCCATCAGTGGGAACACTGTCAAGTCTTTTTTCTGCTGTCCTCTCTCTGCTTCTTTTGAATCATTTCCCTAGTGATACATTTGATGGCACTTGGCCCCTTGGGCCTCAGACCATTGCACAGCTTCATCTTCCTTGTTTCTCTTCTCAAACAACCCCACACAGGACCGTGGGACTGGCACTAAGATAGGTCTGTTTCTCGTAGTATTATTGGAACTCTTGGTCAATCTCTGTCCTCATAGAGCACCAAAGCCTTAAGCTCTGTGGACTAGCCGGTTATGACTATTACGTGTGCCTTGATCAAGGAAGCTATTGCTGCTTAGACTATCAGTTCCAAAGTTACCCCAATACAATTAAGATATCTCAAATGCTTTCTTGTCATTGGGCCTATTGGGTCTCCTGCAGTGATGTGGACAGCAGTCACTTTCCAAGGTGCCATCATGACAAACGAGCTGTGCCTTGTGAGGGGGAGGGATGGATGTGCAAAGAGTACTCATCTCTGCTTGGAAGGAATTTAATTCACTGATAAAATCCTTCCAGATTCATGGGCTCCTCTGATTGCAAAAATGTTTAAACCCATATCATCCACATAGAAGTACCAGAGACTTTATAACAACTATGAGGATTTCTGGTCAACTTTCGAGTCTGTGCAGCTCTGTAAGAACCAGAGTGGAATGAATTAGCATGAGGACAACTGCGCAGTTATAAAATGCTGCAATTTCAGCAACCGTGTTGTTCTTTGTGGCTTTTGGTGTTGGTACAACAGCTTGCCTCTCTGCATGAAATGAATCCATTTGAAAGTATTTAATGATGAGGTTTCTTTTGCTTTATTTAATTTGTTTTTCCCTCTCCTCAGAAGGTCCTCCAAAGAGGTCTTCTTGGAAGATGGATCCATTGAAAGGAAGAGAAAATACAGATGTCTGAGCCCAGTGGACCACTCCTGACTATTTTTATAAAAAAGGAAAAAAATATTTTTTCCTCGGGCAGCCTGATCTGGTGATTGTGTAACCCCGTCCATGGCAGGGGGCTGGAGCTCAATGATGTTTAAGATCCCTTCCAACCTAAATCATTCTATGGTCCTTTGTCCCGTCCACCATCCTGTCCCACCAACTGGCCAGCTAGCTGAAGATAGGCTCTAAAAGCAGAGTTCTTCCAGCACATCTGCAGTAGGAGAGATTTTGTTGGGTGTTTTTCCTATAGCTAATAAGCTGAAGTGTGAATTAGCAATTTAAAATCAGTGCTTCAGTTGACAAGTGCTGGGATAGATGCACCAGAGAAGCACCATTGTTTCCTGAGATGGATGCTCAGGGTGGGCACCCATGCATTATACTGCCAGCTATTCTCATTTACCCTGTAGATTTTGTTTGTTTGAATATTCTTATTTAACATTTTGCTTGCTCCTCAAAGGCTTTTGCAGATCTCATGATGATTCAGATTCACTTCATTACTACTAGATATTAGTATTTGCATTGTAGTGATTTTCACTGCAGAACTGAGAATCCTGATCATGCTCTACAGGCACAGAAAATATGTGCAGAGCCCTCTTTCTGAAACTTCCAGTGCAGTCTGTTAGTCTGTTCTTTTTACATTTATTTGCAGTGCAAAAGAAGATTAAAATGAAGCAAAGCACTGCACACTGGTTCTGTAACCACTTAGAAACTGGGGGTAGCATGTTTTTCAGCTAAGTCTGTTTTGTCTGAATACACAGATCATCTTGTTGCTTTCGAACTTCAGAAACCTGTAATTGAGATTCAAAGGTTGACAGGGTCCCCATTTTATTTAGGCCTCCAAAAGCTGTGAGGTTCAAGTCTTAGAGAGGACAAAGTATTTCTCTCAGAGGTGTTGGCAGGCAGCAAGATCTGTGAATCCGGCATTGCTGAGACATCTCGAATTGGGCATCTGGAAAATGGAGGCTTCTGAAATCTGCTGTCAGCTTTTAAAATGCTGACTATTTTTCTTCCCTCCTGCCAGCTTTGAAACTTTGAACCGAAGTTGCAGGGTTTTTTTTTTAATTTTTTTTTTTACTTTTTTTTATCACGTTTGCCATTCCTTAGTAATGATGCTCTGGCATTAAAAATTCGGCTGACAACTTTGTGGGCAGGAGCCAAAATGAAGTTCAGTTTTGCACCCTTCTCTGATGCACCCAGTGCATTTTGCATAAGTCTGAATGAAGAACTCCAGTCCCATTCATTATGGCAATTACTGTTTTCTCACTGATGCCAACATTAAGCTTGTTTATTGTTGTAATTTAGGTGAACAGGAACTGATGAGGTGTGTGCAGTGTGAGTGTTGAGAGTGAAAGCACCATGTAGAAACCATTTGTTCTCATACTATTCCTTCATCTTAGATAATATAAAGGTAAAAAATCTCCTGGAAATCGTACAAAATTGGTGCTGCAAAAGATTTAGAGCAGTTCCAGACTGGCTTAATTGTTATTTTGTAGATGCTTGTGACCAGCACGTTAAAGTTTGCTGACTTTAAATATATCTAAATGCACGTATAAATATGTGGTTTGAGTTACATTAGGAGAACTGGCTTTTGGGGAAGGAGCACAGTTCAGTAAGTCAGATCTGCTGGGCATGGATTCTACCATTTGCCATAGCTAGCTGTGTGGATTGCATAAGGTATTTAGGCTATGATTTGAATCTTAGACTAAATTCAGGTGTGCCAAATACCCAAACAAGAAACATGCTCAAGCATGAAGCGTTTTTTCTCCTTTTGTGGCAATATCATATAAATGAAGTTGATGTCTGTAGGAACCTTGCAAGGATCAGTGTGAGTATTGCCAGCCTTGGCGTGTGCTGGATTATAATTGAATCTCATTCTCATTTCGAGGTCTCTGGAATGTGTTTGTGGAAGGGAATGGCTACTTTTCGGGGGATATTTGCTGCTAGACAGCTTGGGGTTGTGTTTTACTTCTCTCCCAAAGGCAGTGAGTATTTGCTAGGTGCTCACGGATTGAATACCACCGATGAACACCTGTGTGCTGGGTGCACATCTGCAGAATGGTACCGAGCTTCATCAGCTCAGTATCAGATCTCAGCTCAGGTTCATGCCCAGGCTGTAATCCATGTGATCTAAAGGAACAATTTTTGTGGGAGTGTTGGGGCTTCCTGAGGAGTTGAGTGACTTGAAGCACTCCTGTACCTGCTCATACTTCACGTGGAGTCCCTAACCTCAGACTGTGTGTTGCTGGAGCATTGACATCTTTGAGAAGAGCTGAGAAGTCACTGCATTTCTTAACTGTTCAGGAATCTTGTCCTGATTTGTGTGCAGGGTGCTTTAATTGGGTTGCTCTTGCTTGACTAACACAGCATTTCTCTGAAGTGTTAAGCAAGGACTCAAGTTTTTCCTGAGCAAAATGCAAGGGCTGCTGTAATGTAATTATTTTGGAGCTGTGCAGGTTGATGTACAGCCCTTCCTGGTCTCCCCTATGGAATAGCAGTCTTTAAACCAGTTGTTTGTTCAGAACTAATGTCATAATTTTCAAATGGTTGTGATTTTCCCCTTCTGTTGGTGTAGGTATGATTAACATATCTATATCACTGTTAGTTGTATAAACATGTAAATAAGTTAAAGTGGTATAAGTATAAGTAAATAAGGGGGAAATCAAAATGTTTTTGATGTAATTTAATTCTCATTTATAGACAGGTGGAATTAAAATCTGATCTCTGGGTTTGCAAATGTACAATGTATTCAAAGAGATGTCTGAATCTCTGAAGCTGAGATTTGCTGAATTGCTTTTGAGTGTTCGATCTTCCACTGATTTCAACAATAATTGATCCAAAATCTGAATCCAGATCTAAACCAGAGGCAGCATTTATATGTTTTTAGTTAAATCTTATGTAACTCTGTTGACACAGATCCTGAAGTAGCACACTTACAGCATTTAGCTGAAAAAATGACTGAAAATATTTTTAAAATGAAATAGAAGTTTGTGGTCAATAATTTAAGGCTTCTTACAAGTGTGTGGACTCGATGACTGAGGTACAGTAATCTCAGGCTTGAGTTTTCTGCTTTCAGGGGGAAAGAGCCTATCAAGGCCTGTCAAGGAACTGAAAAGTTTGAGCAGTTTTTTTTTTCTCTCAGATCACCATTGAAAAAAAAAAAAGAGACATTATAAAGCATTTCTAAGCCTACATGGGAAGCAGGAAACTAGTAAATAGTCATAGTAGTTACACAAGCTGTGGCCATTTTGGATTGGGAGACTTGGAGATGCTAAGACACACCGTAGTAAATCCCTGTTGCTGCAGCAGAGCACGACCTTCCCATATTTTAGAGGTATAACCACATGGCTGTGTCTGGGTTGCTCAAGAAGCTTGGACAATGAACCATCTTTTTACCTGATCAGGATTGCAACTGTACCTGAAACTTCACAGCTGATAAGTCTCTCTAGATGATAAGTCTCTCTCACATGTATACAAAAAGTCCATTGCAGTCTGCTTCTCTGAGCGTTTCTTTTCTTCCCTCATCCTTTGCAGCAATCAAAGAGAAATATGTGGACTGGACAGAGTTTCTTATCCATGATCTGACTGGCGCCCGGACTGCACCTGCAAATTTACTGGAAGGCGTATGTATTAGATTGCAGTTTCTCTCTGATACTGTCTTGTGGTGTGCATGCTGCACCAGTGCTTGTGCTCCCCGTGTGTAGGGCTGTGCGCTTGCAATATCTGTGCGTCCAACAGCTGTGCAAAAGTTAGGAACGACGTTGCCTGGATTCTGCTGGCTCTGCTTCTGACTGAGTCGTGGGGTATTTTATTTGCCTTCAGGTTGAAAGGTGCTTAGAAATTTGGGTATTCATATACCAAGAGGTGAAGGAGAATGCCCACAGATTGGAGATGGGTGTTGGCAGGTTGATGGAGAGCATTGTCAGATTTATGTGTATATAGAATTATATTAATATTCCAAGGCTGGAAAAGAGTTCCAGGATCATCCAGTCCAACCATCCATGTAGGGATAGCTCCCTGAAAGACAGCAGTCAGGTTTAGCAGGGAAGTTGAGTGTGGTGGGCTCGCTCATTGATGACTGGATAAGAAAAAGGAGCTGTTGTGTCAGATGCATCCATATAGCAAAGAAGCTGGTTTGTGTAGCATGTTTGCAAGGAGATGTGCTCCTGGGACATGCCTGAGATCTTAGTATTTCACAGCTTCAGCTTCCAATGGGGGGAGCAGGGCTCATCCTACTTTCCATTGGGGAGGCTGCCATCTCTGGTGCATGCCAGTGCTATTAGGAACTTCTCTGTTCCCATTCAAGGTCAGGTTGGAGGGGGCTTTTTATAACCTGATTGAGCTGTAGGTGCTCCTGCAGTTGGACCTCCCTGCAGAGAGTTGGACTAGATGGCCCTCAAGAGTCCCTTCCAACTCAATTCTGTGATTCTAGAGGCAGCAAAAATAGGAGGTCCCAGGCAGAAATGCAGAGAGAAGTCACTGCCTTGACTTGAAACAGTTTCTCACCCTCTTCTGGTGTTGTATGTGATATATGTGCTTAGTGCTGTCTGTGTCATGCGATGTATGTTACCCCCCTGTCGACAGATTTGCTGTTTGTGAGTGCTGCAGATTGTTCTTATACCATTAAATCAATATGCAGTGATAAATTTTTTTTTAACATGCTAGCTATGCATATAAAGAGCTCTTGAATTATGGTAAATGTTAATATTTCAAGCAAGCCAATTATTAATCTTAGCCATTGAGTTGTCAGGAGTAAGCGACAGCCCTTTGGCTTAGAATTTAGCACACAAATCTGGGAAGCGATATTTGCATTTTTGTGGCCAGGGTTTTGTAGTAATAAGGTAAATCATTACACCACCGTTTGATGTTAAAGAATGTTTTGTTGGAATGAAGCAGTGTGTGAGAGAAAAAAAAAAAGAAAAAAGAATTTAAGTAGATTTCTATTATGTTATTACATTTTAAGAGTGCATTTTTCCATGAAATAATATTTGAAGAGGTTGTGCAGGTGTAGAGGAGTTGCTTATAATGGTGGATACATTATTTTGAGAAATATCTGATAATCATAGGTCTGGTTAAACATGTGATAAGGTTTTAGTCAATTTAAATATTTTTTTTTTTCTTACCAAATTCTCATTTTGATGCCTCTATTTTTGGCTTAAAGGAGGTGTAGTCAAATTTGGGTATGCTTCAAAATTTGAATATTTTTATAAGTCAATACGAGAGAGCTTTTTTATAAAGGAAAATAAGGCTTATTCCTCCTTTTATTTTTTTTCTAGCCACCCATAGAAGGAACTGACCTGGGCTGACACTGATTTGCAGAATTAATATTAAAAAAATAAAGAAAAATGTGAAAGGTACATATTGTTGAATTACAAAGAAGTGGAACAATCACACGAGAAGAAAGATTGTGCTTTTTTTTTTTCATATATTTTGCCTGTGCTTAACATTTCCTTTGAGGAGCAATGCTTGCAACTTGTGGAGTGATTGTTAGTGCTGTTCTTAAAATTCTAGAAGTGAGAAATTGAGTAAGAATTGGAACTTGCTTTAAAAAAAATGGAAAGAAAAATAAAAAGCTCTAGCCCTAACATTTGCAAGAAAAAGCCTGACAACTCAGAGTTGCTCACAATCACAAAAGAAAATCACTGAGCCCCAGAGGTATTGTTCTGAAAAATACCACACATTTGTTTTAATGCCTGCGGTTGGCAACTTCGAAGGTGTAAAGTTAAACACATACCAACGGTTGCAAAACCACCATAGACATTTCCATCCATGACAGTGGGAATAATTTGCTCTAAATTCTGGTAGGAGCAAGGCAAATTGTTTTGATGGGAAAGATCAGTGCCCAGAAGGCAATTTCAGTGTCATGCCCAAAGTAGTTAGCTTTTAGATAAACAGCAGGGTCTGATCCTGTGGTCGGTTCCTATCAGCTGCTATCAATGAGAATTTGGTTTGAAATCTTTCAGTGTAACTGAGCTCTGCATTGTTCAGGAGCTTCCCAAGTGGATATGCCTTAAGGGCTGTTTCACCTCTGACTATTCTTTTGTTGTTGTTGTTGTTGATGATGTCGGTTTAGAAATTAGCACAACTGTTGTTTTCTGTTTTACTTCTGAATTTGCACTTGGAAGACATTGGGTAAAATAGAAGAAGAACAGACTGTTTGCTGATCGCTTGGATGATGGTGTGAAAAACAAAAATAATCTTCTGCTGTCATCTGTTTCCTTGAGAAGTCTTCAAATAAAGTTTAAAATAAGGAGTTTTGCTTCTATTCAAACAGCCTCTGCGAGGAAAAAACCCTGTAGACCTCATTACAGTTGATTCCTTAATAGAGCTGCAGGATTCCCAGAATCCCTTTCAGTACTGGATAGTTAGTGTGGTTGAAAATGTTGGAGGAAGATTACGCCTTCGCTATGTGGGATTGGAGGAGACTGAATCCTATGACCAGTGGTTGTTTTACTTGGATTGCAGACTTCGACCAGTCGGTTGGTGTCAAGAGAATAAATACAGAATGGACCCACCTGCAGGTAAAAAAAAACAAAACAAACAAAAAACAAAAAAACAAACAACCTTGTAAAAATGCTGTTCTCTTTTGTGATGTTTTTTATGATCGTGACATGTTTTAAGATTCTTGTGCAACCCATTTCTTTTCCAGCATTCACATTGCTTGGTCAGCAGGTTTTAACTGGAACACAAATTGTGAGCAAGAGCCGTCTGATTTGGGCTCAAAGTAGTGGGTCAGGTAAACTGTATTAAATGTATTTAATAAAGCGAGCTTGGTGTTGCTCTCTCCTCCAAGGAAATTGTGTGCAGTAAGAGTAGCTTTGTGTATCAAGAAGCAGAGCTGATAGAGGTGGTCCAAGGATGTGCCTACTTGCCCGTCCCCTTGCAGTAGTGTTTTGGTGTCCATGTCTTCTTGGTCTTTCTCTAGGCATCCTAGTGTAGGACTCACTAGAATTCTATTTACTGTTCTCCAAATCAAAATTTAGGTGACATCTCTCAGCATATTTTATGCTCCGTTTGCTCTCCCTTCACCCAAGCACCTCTTGCCAATCTGTTTTCTATGGCCATGCTCTTGGATAGCAGTGTACTTCCGTGGAATTTCTTTGGGCTGGAGAAAGTGTTCTGGGATATTTATGGTCCCTTCATTGTAGGTCTTTCTCATCCAGATGTAACTTGGCTGTTCAGGATCTAAGTAAGACCTGCCTTGTGTGTAACCAACTCAGAAGATGGTACAGCAGGCCTACACCACATTTTCCTGTGTAGATGGGCAGATTGTCCAGGTCTGTGCTTCATTCTTCTTGTGCAATAGATGAAGTTTTCCATGGGAATTAACGATGGAAGAAAGATGGCTCTCCTTTGGATGAATGTTCCTGAGGTGACTTTTATCCCTTGAACTTTATTTAGAGAAGTTACTATGATATGTGCTGTTTTACAAATCTGCATGGGTCTTGGGGCTAACTTGGGGTCTTGAATGCTTTTTGGAAGTGTGTGTTTTCCTTCTCAGAGAGGTGGGAATCGATATTCTCCATCACTTCTAAATTAGATGTGAATGCTGGAGGGCATGAATATCACTCACTCAGTTATTTCCCAGAGCATCTGTGTTACACAGAAACACCTTTTCATTGACCATCTCTGAAACCTCTTGGCCTGTATAGGTTTGGTTAATCAATACAGAAGTGGCCTAAACTGCATTTGTACTTCTTTGTCCATTCCACCTTCCTTTTCCTTTTATCTGTTTGTGCTTCCTTCTATACTCCCTTCAATTTTTTTCTTCCAATTGTCTTATCTTTAAAACTGTTATTGGACTCGATTTGATGAAATTATATATTTTTCTCCTCCCCTCTCCTAGACTTAACTGCTTTTTACATTTCTTTCATGTCTTCATTTAGAATCTCTTTCCCCTCCTTGGCATTTCTCTGGCCGTTCCCCTTTTAGTGAGCATTGTTAGTGAGTTTGGTGATATATATCTTCTTGCTGACATTGACTTAAATTATACATCCTAGGATGTTGTCTTGCTGGAGTTTGTTGAGAAAAGACCCTTTGGGTGCGAGTCTTTCCATTTTCTTTTTGAGTCCTGACCTCCTGAAGTCTTACCCCAGGGATCTTTCTTTGACCCATCCTTGCCCTTCTGAGTTCTGCATTCCAGGGAGTAACCAGTCATGGTTATGTCCATGGGATATATGGGAATCTGATACATCTTGAGAGGCAGGAATGCTGGTTGTTCAACTTCTGACATCGCGGATAAAATTGGCCATTTGATGCCCACTACCATCAGCATATTCATAAACTACAGTGGATGAATAATGCTTGTTATGAGACTTGTGGTATAGCAGGCAGACAGGAAGCAGTAGTGAGTTGTCAGAATGAGGTGCTGGGCAGCAGAGAGCTCTGAAGAAACTTAAGGGTGAAGATACTAAATGATAGTCTGTCACAGGATGTGATTTCCTAAGGATGCCAGACCAGGAGATTGTGCCAGGGATTTGTCCCTACCTGCTTCCCTCCTTTCTGCTGACTTCTGTTGTAAATGAGATTTAGTTGGGGAAAGATCTTTGGTGTCACTGGTATATACTGTCTTAGGAAAGAGAAGATTTGTGGGTAATATGTTGGGTTTTTTACATGTTAGTTTAGATTCATTTGGCATTGTATAGGCATTGAAATGATGCTTCAGCATCACCTGTTGCTTTTTCTTTATGATCGGTGGAGAAAAGAGGATGTCTAAATCATTCTGTCATAGGCCAGATGAAGTGACATCTTCATTAGCCTGTTTTCTTCCACTCAGAGGGTTGAGAGGAATGAACACAGAGCTGGTTTCTAACTTTTGAAGCCTGTTGAGAGGACTGCTTGACTGATAAAAGGAACAACCTTAGACTTTTTATAAAAGCTACTGTGAATATCCTCTGAAGAGAGGCTGAGAACTTCCAAACCAGGCTGTGTGCCTAATTGGTATCAAAAGAGGATGTTCAGTTGCACATCTTCTCTGCAGGTTATTACAGTGTTTTACCAACCCCTGACTTGGAAGCTGTTTATGCACCATTAGCTTTATTTCCCAACGTGTCTGGGTTGTGGTTTTGCTATGCTGATCTGCCTCTGGCACCTGGCAAGTTGACTGTCACATTGCACAGCAGTCTGAGGTTAGTCTTTCAAGATACAGGACATTCTCCTCTGAAGGAGATCCCATTGTTCTGAATGTCTACAGCATCTTGGGTGGAGAGGTCTCTTTCTTCAAGCCAATTGCAACCTTGCACCAACGTACGGTATAAGAATGTGCAGAGAAAGTTCTTAGGAAATGGCATCCCTGCTGTGTTCACAACTGGGAACTTTTCAACAGCTTTATATGTCCTCTGTGGTAAAGAGAGTATAGCACTTCTTGCTTTTTCACTTGGATCTGAATCCAAGATAAGCCTCCTTGCTACCTCGAATTGGCAGAGGCAGCTTGACACAGAGCCACGGGTAGTCTTTGCCTCAACTGTTTATGTAGGAAGAGGTAGTCTCATTTTATGTTACTTTCTATTAAAAGACAAATTGGCAATGATTTTAATTCCTCACTCCTTGTTAACCTAAATACAGATTGACACAGTACACTTTGTTCAATTACCTGCAACACTATCACTTAAACAAAATACTTTATGCTCTTTTAACCATGCGATTTAGTGTCCATAAACTTGCCAGCATAAGCTAACTGCCACTGCCTGACGAAATGTCCATGTAATACTGCTTGCTGGTTATTGAAACAATTGAGGTTGTATTAATCTTTCAAGGCTTGTTGGCACCAAAGAAGTTGCTGCTTGTTTTCACTGCTGTTGCACAGAGTTACTCCCAAAGGCCACGTTAGAATTGCAGAGTCACAAAATCATTAAGGTTGGAAAAGACCACTAAGATCATCTAGTCCAACCATCCCTCCCTCAGTGGGGGGACCTCAGTCCCTCAGTGCTACATCTGCCCTTTTCTTGAACACATTCAGGGATGGTAACTCCCCAGGCAGCCTGTTCCAGTGCCTCACCACTTTTTCTGAGCAGAAATTTTTCCAGATATCCAACCTAAACTTCCCCTGACACAACTTGAGGCTGTTCCCTCTCATCCTACAACTGGTTATCTGGGAGCCAAGGCCAACCCCCACCTCACCGCAGCCTCCTTTCAGACAGTTGTAAAGGGTGATAAGGTCTCCCCTGAGCCTCCTCTTCTCCAGACTGAACAATCCCAGTTCCCTTAGCTGCTCACTGTAAGATTTATGCTCCAGACTTTTCACAGCATTGTTGCCTTTCTTTCTCTCCCATGCTCCACTGCCATTATGATGGCAAATGAAGTTCTGTTTTCATCCTGCTCTGTTCGGCAAGCGTCTGTGTGGGTTTTCTGAAACTCAGAATTTATATAGGTAGAAGCAGCAGGTTGGGGTGAAATCATGACTTATTGACTATTTCTGATTTTTTTTTTTCTTTTTTGCATCATTTCAGCCAAAAAGGGAGAAACAAAGTGAATCATTTCCCTTTCTATATTTCAGCCATTCAAGACTCCTGCAAGTGGGTGAGGTATTGGAGCAGGCTGCCCAGTGAGGTGGTGGAGTCACCATCCCTGGAGGTTTTCAAGAAAAGAGCAGACGTGGCACTGAGTGGCATGGTCTAGAGTGGTCATGGACATGGGTTAATGGTTGGACTAGATGATCTTTGTGGTCTTTCCAACCTCAGCAATTCTGTGATTCTAAGTAAGGGGAAAACTGGTGCAATAGGCACTATGAAATAGTGAACAGTTTGACGAAGAGCTCCTTTCTTAACTCTTGTGACCACCACGCATGCTGTAAACAAAGACTTGAAATGTATGTTCCCATTAATAACCAGACAGTTGGGGAATTCACACTACAGCCCTGAAAGGTTAACCTTTCCCTTTAAGTGTGTTTAAATTCACGTGCATACCCGTGATGTCTGTCTGAAGTAGCAAAGCTTGATATAGTGGAAGTATAAATACATCCTCTTCCAGTGAGTGATTCTGCAAATCCTGTTTTGATAAGGTCTTAAATCTATTGAAATCAGAGCATAAAATTCTCTTGTACTGTCAGTGCTAGGTGACAGTGCCTGCCAATTCCTTTTTTTATATATGTTTCTTTTATTTCCTCCTTCAGAATTGTAAGATACCACAGTAAATCTTTGGTAGCTTGCAAATATATATGGTTCCTAGATGTACAAAATTTAAATGCAAATTAGACCAACTTGAACTGTGGTGGAAGTGAGTGAAGCCCCGCTGGCAAAAGCAAATCTTTGCACTGCTCAGTCTTTATCAAAGTTCGAGTTTATTGTTAAGTAAATGTTCATTTCCATTTCAGTAATTGTTACTAGTCTCTCTACTTATCTTGTCTCTTGGAGACCTTGATATGAATGCTCTGCAGTAACTTGTTATGTATGGGATAGCAATATGTTTTCCAGGACAGAAGTAAATCCAATATAATGTTCTTTGTCATAGCATTGTTTCCTATGTTTTTTTGTGTTTTTTTTCCCTTTGGTGATTCATAGGCATTTTACTGCTCTGAACTGTAAACGACTTGCTAATATAATGATTTAATAATATTAAACCAATTTAAAGAAACCCATTGCCTAGAAGTATAATGATTGCAATTCATTAGTGTAAGTGTGAATTGATGTGATGCTCAGTCATGTACCAAAGATAGGTTTGTGTAGATACCAGCTGAAATGTTCTTTCCCACACCTTCCCTCCTGCAAAAACTTCTGCAGTAGTGAATTTTCAATGAACAAAAGAATTGTTAAGGGTATTTCTGTTTTTGTTCAAATATAAATAATGTTAACCCGAGGCTTCTCAAACTGGAAAATATTTGGTATTTTTGTTATGTTCAAATAATGAGATAATACAGTTCTTTTTTCTTCAACAGAAAATGGAATGTGTGTATTTTCTTGGGTTTTACTCTAGGATATAGAACACATTTCTTCCCTAAACGTGCCTTTGCTCCTTGCTTTTGTTGAATTTATCCACACTGTACAGCTTGGGATATACATGCTGCTGATTACAACTGAACCTTCCATTTTTATGACACAGTAACTTAAGACTTTCAGAAATCTTCAATTCCCAAACATTTACTTCTTGGGCTTGTATTTTTTTTTTAAATTGATTTTTGTGTTTTGTTGTTGTTGTTGTTGTTGTTATGATTGCTTTAGATATCTATTCTCTGAAGACGATATCTGAGTGGAAATGCGCCCTGGAAAAATCCCTAAATGATGCAGCAAATTTTCCTCTTCCAATGGAAGTATTCAAGGTAAAAAGTGTACATTTTCCTTCAGTTATTCGATAGAGTAAATTCTCAGCTACAAAACACTATTTTTCATCATAATCACCACCACCATTAGCTATGCATTTTTGCCAGTAATGAACAGCAGCCTGCATGCCACGTTCAGAAAAACTTGCACCAATGGACATAACCCACTGTTTCACAGTGTTTCATCACCCACCACCTCACTGTGCACACATCCACTGTTTGGTCTCCATAGATATTCAGCAAGGGTTGATGAATGTCAGTGGGTGCAGTTTTTCTGCGTAGAGGAGTTCAGTTCTACCCCTTTGCTTCATGTGCAGTTCCATGTCAGGTGCCATTTTGTCAGACTGCCCCTCTGCTGCCATCTGTCACATGAAAACAAGATGTAACGAAGTTCTGGTTGGAAAGTTGAACCTCTGCTGCCATACTGCCAACATCCACTTCTGTTGTAATGGGCCAACTTAATAAAACAGGAGGCATTACTGTCAGAGCAGCCCTTCTATGTTGCTATCAAAGGTCATAAGTGGGATGTTTGTATAAAATGCAGTTTTGTGTGAACTCTGCTCTCAGACCTGATTTCTTGCTGTTACTGTTTTATAGATGATGTAGGGGTATGACCAACGCTGATTTCTCCAACATCAGCATTTCTCCAACACCATTTCTAACATCTTCAATTATGCAGACCTGACTTCTCACAGCCTGTGACAGCACAGTGCTATGATTATGAGAGTACTTGTAAACTCAGCTTTCTGTGAGCTCTGTGCTCAAATTTTCATCTCATTCAGAGCTGGTCCTCCTCCAGGGACCTGTAGTGGAAGTAGGAGATAATTTTCTCCTGTGTCATTTTTTCTTCACTCAATCTGATTTTTAATAGTTAGAGATGTGCTTCAGCCCTGAGGCACCAGCTTTAATATCCCATCCAAATCCACACTGCTGTTCATCGTGGCTGCTCCAGATCATAATCCAGATTTCTAGCTGTGCCAGCCTTTTTAATGTTGCAGCCTTGCAGTGGTGTGCTGTAGCAGTGTGGGGGGATGAGTTGTAGCATAGTGCTGCACCACTGTCTCCAGTGGAGTGGACCAGGTCATAGAATAATGGAATCATTAAGGTTGGAAAAGACCACTAACATCATCAAGTCCAACCATCAAACCATTTTCATCATGCCCACTAACCGTGCCCCTCAGTGCCACATTTGCTCTTTTCTTGAACATCTCCAGGGCTGGTGACTCCACCACCTCCCTGGGCGGCCTGTGCCCATGCTTCACTATTCCTAATGAGAAGAAATTTTTTTTTTTTGCTAATATCCAGCCTGAAATCCATCTGATAACCACCAGATCCTCCTAGTCAACCACAGTGGTTACCACTGCTCCTGGCTCATCCAGTGTGGACACCTAGGTTCCTTCCCATTAGCAGCATGATATTGGGGCACCCCTAAACACCCATGTGATTGGGAGAAGGCACCCAGCATGCCCCATTCTGGCTCATCACAGGGACCTGGTGCCACCTAGTGAAAGCCCTGCTAGGCTGAGAGGAATACAGAAAATGTATGCATTGGCTTTTTTCACAGACAAGGGTTTGAGATGTCCCATAAAATCATAGAATTGCCCGGGTTGGAAAAGACCTTAAAGATCATTGAGTCCAACCACAACCTAACCATACTGCCCTAACTGTAACAACCCTCCACTAAATCATGTCCCTGAGCATCGCATCCAAACGGTTTTTAACACATCCAGGGATGGTGACTCAACCACCTCCCTGGGGAGCCTATTCCAGCACTTAACAACCCTTTCTGTAAGAAGTGTTTCCTGATATCCAACCTAAACTTACCCTGGCACAACTTGAGTCCATTTCCCCTCGTCCTGTTACCTTAAAAAATAAAATCTCATGTTGTTGCAGGAGTGGTTTTGATTCTCTGCCACCTTTTTTTGTACAGTGCTTCAGTCCAGAAGCTATTAAACTTTGCAGTTTCAAGATGAAGAGCATATTGTATGGGGCAGGGATTAAACTGGGAAAGCCTAATGTGTAAATTTTATTCCTGCCTATATGAAAAAGCAAAGAATCTTTCTGATGAGGCTCATAAAGCATCCTTTTTTTTTCTTTAGTTTATAAGTAACAGCTGTTTTGCAGCCTTTTCTCAGCATGCTAGACTTATACCCACTTATTTTAATTATTGCATGACGGTCATAAATTTAAACTCAGCAAGTCCCAGTGGCCACACTGTGTGGTTAGAGCTTGCAAGGGTGTTCCTCTTAGACAGTGCAGTGCCTTGGAATGCTTGAATGGCCCAAAAGGAGAAATTTTGGGGGCCATACATGACAAAAAGGCAGGATTAGGGCAATATAGCTTCTTTGTTTGAACTGTGGAAGCCAAGCACAAGGATTCAGTGTCTGGTGTTGTTTGGGTCCCTGCCTGGTGATGAGGAGGCTGGAGGCTAAATGAATGGATGTCCTTTTTTTCTCTGCCTTTAGAAGGACTCAACCCCATCTTCTACCATTTGATCGAGGGGTAAAATACAAGAGATTGTGCTTGTGAGCATGCCTTCCTCTAATAGTGATTTAAATGTAAGTTAAGTAGAGGCTTTCTGTATGAGAATGTAGTTGTCTGATCTTTCAAGGCAAGCCAAAATTCACTCTTGGGAACTTCAGTAAGAATCTCAGAAGAGCCCAGCAAAAAATGTTGAATCCAAAGGCTTTTTTTTTTCTTCCTAGTACCAGCACGGAAATAATGTCTCTACAGGGTGCCAGGGGACTTGGTGCTGCTATAATTGTTATGTCTTACATGAGGTATAAAACACAGAGTTTGGCAGCTTGCAACTGTTAAGATCTTGGTCTTCTGGAAAGCTGGAAATGTTTACTTTGGCAAACATGATAAACTGCCCAGTTGATAAACTGAGCAATTAATTTCTACATTTCCCTATAGAAATCCATACAGGTATGAACACTCCCTAGAGTGAACACACACACGTTCTTTTGGCTTGATTGCAGATTAAATTGCTGTTGTTGTTTGAGATGTGCATGGTGGTGGGCAGTGTCAGGAATGCAGTGTCAAACTGGTCCCAGGTGGTAGTGCTGGAAAGTCAGGTCTGCACTTGTAGAATCATAGAATTGTTAAGGTTGGAAAAGACCACCAGGGTCCTGTAGTCCAACCATAACCATCTGTAGTGGGAAAAGTGTCTTCTGTTATGAATTTATGAGCCCAACATTACTGTTGGTGGTGGAGCAATTTGGTTTTGGTGACAAAGGGTTGGGTTCTGCCTGGTAGCTCATACGCCATGAATTTGAGCCTGTATTATCACTGCTCAGCAGCATAGCAGAACAGAGCTTTTGTGTAGTGGTCTTCAGCGGGAAAACACTAAAATGTCTTGCAAAAACGCAGCCCTCATGGTAGAATGGATTGGGTTGGAAGGGACTTCAGAGATCATCTAGTTCCAACCCGCTGTTGATGCAGGCAGGATTGCTGACCACTGAATCAGGCACTATATCAGATTGTCCAGCACCCCATCCATCCTGCCCGAATTATTCCCCTCTTTTGCATCCAAGGAATCAGAATTGTTAAGGTTGGTTAAATACGACTAAGATCATCTCGTCCAACTGTCGGCCCATCACCACCATGCCCACTAGATCATGGCACCATTAATGAGGCCTTATGAGCTGGTTACAAAAATCAGAGGGAAGGATGAGAGGAAGATCTTCCTTTTTTTTTTTTTTCTGGTGCTGTTTTACACTTGGCCATATGTTGAAAGCATTTGTAAAACACTTTAGGATCCTTTGAGAAGGAACGTGATATTCAACTGCTAGAAAATGTCACTGTTATATAGCTACTAAACATAGTGTTTTGCAAACTACACCTCCTGGAGAAAGTTTTTCTTTAAAAAGCTTTTTGCAACACATCTACTATATTGTCATTCTGTTCTTCTTAGAAAACAAATTGATTCTCAAAAAAAAAAAAAAAAAAAAAGCAGACTGTTTTTTCGAGTGTGTTTAAATAGTTTGGGAGCTTAAATCCTTCCAGAAAGCCACAAGGAAACCCAAGGAAGCCTGTCCTTTACAGTTTCTGCTCTGATTTTGAGATGCAACATTTGGCTGAATGCCTGCAATAAGAGATGGCTCAGAGCACACCTAAGAAAATGACCAAATCTTTGGGTATAAATAAAGGTGGCTGGATTTACTAAGGCCAGCTTTAAAGCTGTGCAACATCAGTGGTTCAGCAGTGCCGTGCTGATGCTTTCTGAGAAGCAGCCTGGCATCAGGAAACCAAACTTAAGACACAGAACCTTTTAGCCCAAATATTTATTTCCCCCCGAACACACATTTGTAATTATTCTCTCTAGCTGAGGAACAACTGTTTCTCTTCTCTGGAACCAGCCCAGTGAGATCCTATTTCTAGATCATAGATCATAGAATCATTCAGGTTAGAAAATACCTTCAAGATCATCAGGTCCAACCATTAACCTGACCAAATCTCATCACTAGACCATGGCCATTAGTGATGTATCACACATCCCTTAAATACCTCTAGAGATGGGTTACCATCACCTCCCCTGGCAGACAGTGCCTAACAACCCTCTCTGTAATGAGATTCTTAACTGATATCTGAACTAAATCTCCCCTGGTACAACTTGTAACTCTACTAATTTGGAGTATTTGGGTGTTTCCTGTGATTTGTAATAATACCATTAATTGATGCTAAGATAAAAGGGATGGAAGGAATCTCCTATGGAGAATGATGAAGGGACCATCCATCAGTGAGTTCAGAGCTGCCTCCTAAAATTCAGTACTGGGTGCTTTTTTGTTCCACAGTCAAAAATACAATAAACAAATATTACAATAAGTATTAAAAAGAACTTCTTTCTCTCCCAGATGTTTTTTTTTTCCATCAGCTGAAATGTGCTTTTAAAATATGAGATTAAATTGAAGTATTTATTTATGATTGTAACTTATTTTTTGAAGAAAAAGATAACATCTCTCAGAAGTTAATGCATTCTGTAGGTGTTTTAGTGTGTT